GATCTGTCTTCCTGCCTCCCGTTTAATGGCGGAAGATCAGCATCATGTGACTGACATCTCTTTCAACCTAACACCAAACAAATGTTCTACCTAGCTGGTAAACACTAACAGCCAGGTAAATGTATGACTCATTTGCTATTTAGCTTATACTAACATTGTATATTCTAGGTTTCAACACTCCTCCTGACTAACAAGTCTAGTAGCCTTGTTAGGGACCACAACTCGAATTACAAGTGTTTTGAATTGATATGTCTGTTAAACATTTTCTGAGGGCTTCTCCAGCGTGTGCCATAGCTTTTTAAAATTCGCCTTAAAACTTATGAAATATTTTATTGCAAATTGGCACAGCTTTTGAGTGAGGTAGGGGCTTTGTAAGTATATCTGCCAGCATTTCACATGATGGTATGAACTCAACTTTGATAGTACCTTTTTGGACGCAGTCTCTTGCGAAGTGATAGGCTACATCAATATGTTTAGCTTTAGTTGAATTAGTACCATTGACTATGGCCAATGCACTCTGGTTATCTGTGTAAACCTTCATCCCGGAATTTCCGATAAGTTCCTTAGAAGCATTGAGTTCCTCCAGAAGTCTAGTGGCCCAGATAGCATGCTTTGATGCCTCGAATATTGCTATGTACTCAGCTTCTGTTGTGGAAGTGGCAATTGACTTTTGTCTTTTAGATTGCCAGCTGACGGGTCCTCCACCCAGCATCATTAGGTACCCACTAACAGATCGACGAGTGACAACATCTGATGCATAATCGGAGTCTGAATATATTGTAGCCATTGATTCATCTGATAATTCGCAAGAAGGTATTCCAAAGCTATATGTAAGACTGGTATCATGGGAACCTTTCAAATATTTGTAAACTCTGCAAACGCCATTCCAATGACGAGTAACAGGTGATGCATTAAACCTTGCTAGCTGTGATGTTGCAAAGGCAATATCAGGCCTTGTGCTATTAGAGGCATACCCCAAACTACCAATTGCACTAGGATATGCTGAGTTGTCCGCAAGGGGCTCATCGTCATTAGCAGGTAAAATTGCCTCGTATCCATCCATTGGAGACTTGAAAACTTTGGCATTACTTAGCCCAAGAGAATCAACTTTACTGACAATATAACTAGCTTGAGAAATCCTCAGAGTTCTAGTTGGCCTATCACGTGTTATTTTCCATCCAATTACCGTGTCAATAAGGCCAATGTCTTTCACGGGAAAACATGAAGATAGCCAGCTTTTCGCTTCAATTATATCTTCAATGCCTTTTCCACATATAACGAGATCATCAACATAAGCCCCAATAATCAATTGTTTTATCTGGTGAATATAGATGCACTGATCGCTGATGGATTTCTTGAATTGAAACGAAGATAGTGTGCTGCTGAGTTTATCATTCCAAGCCTTTCCAGATTGTTTTAAGCCGTATAGCGCTTTATTAATTCTAACAAACTTTGATCCGGGAATCCCCTCTGGTGTCCTCATATATATTTCCTCAGACAAATCTCCTTCTAGATATGCTGTCTTGATATCAATTTGATGGATTTCCCAGTCACGGAAAGCCGAAATAGCTAGTAATATCCTGAGTGAGTCCATATGAAGTGTTGGTGAGTATGTATCAAAATAATCTATCCCTGGCACTTGACTGAATCCTTGCGCAACTAGCCTAGCCTTGTATCTACCATCGGACTTAATAGCAAAAACCCAGCGCGATCCAATAGGTCTCCTCCCATGAGGAACATGAGTTACTGGACTAAAAACATTTTTTGACCCGAGGGACTCAAGTTCATCATGAATAGCTCTCTCCCATTTCGATTTATCAAGTCCGCTTATGGCGTCTGTATATGATTGTGGAATTTTATTATCTCCTCCAATATAGTGAGCTCTTGGTTGCCATGCTGATCTTGGTTCAATTGGTTTTCGTACTCGGTTGCTTCTTCTAGGAACTTGAGTCGGTGAATCCACTTCGTTATTGAATGAACCTGGGATGGCTTGATCGACTGGGGGTTGTGATGTGACAACTTCCATATCAGTACTTTCAACTGGCAAATATGTAGGATGCTCGACTGATCGCTCATATGGTCGAAGGAAAGGAGAAGGGAGTGATTCTGATTCCGATTCTGCTGTAGAGTCTGTATCAGATTCCGAGTTAGACAAGCTGCTTATTTCTGATGATGAACTGCTATCCTTTTGATGTGTTGGATTCTCCAGTTGTTGAAGGTCAAGTTGATCCTTGGATGTTTTACTCCAATCCCAGAATGAATCTTCAAGAAAACGAACATTTGCGGATACAACTATTTTGTTTGGCCCTGTTCTTGAAGGAATGTAAACACGATATTGGGTTGGAGATTCACAATATCCAATAAAAATGCCTTTGTCAGAGGTCGGAAGCAATTTATATCTCCGTGGGTTCTGGCTATCAATCAGTACGTAACATATACAGCCCCATACTTTAATATGCGAAATGATTGGTAATTTTCCATGCATAGTTTCGAACGGTGTTCTGTTACCGGGTAAAATTGGCATTCTATTCTTTAAATAGCAGGCAGTGGTAACAGCAAGATCCCAAAAACGCATTGGAAGTTTAGAATGATCGAGCATGCATCTAGCCATAGTAATGATAGTACGATTTAATCTTTCAGCAACCCCGTTCTGATGTTGTGTGTAGGGAGCACTCATTTGTTTTGTGATACCATTGAAATTAATCTTTTTGTACTCTGCTCCTCCGTCGAAACGCATAGCTTTTATCTTTAAACCAGTTTGAAGTTCCTTCTCATTTTTATATTCCAGGAATTTATCTCGGACATCTTTTGTAGTTTTTATGGGGTAAATCTTACTCTCGCGAGAAGCATCATCTGTAAATGAAACGAAATAATTACTTCCAAGGATCCCACTGACACGACATTTTCCCCAGACATCCGAGTGCACAAGATCAAGAAGATTTGCTGCTCTTGGTGTAGGATCTCTATTTATTCTTTCAACCTGCTTACATGAGTGACAAGTATGACAATCTTTAATTAAATCTGATGTTACATTAAGTTTTGACTTATCATTTCCTTTAGTTTTATGTAAGCAAAGGTCTGAGGCGTAAATTTTTTTCAATAGTCCTGTACCAACATGGGCAAAACGATTGTGAATCAATTTTGAAGTTAGTGCCTTCTCATCCTGCGAGATCAAAATTTGGCTTGGAGTAGAATGTGTTTTAGAGGCACCTTCTTTCGGGTTTATTGTATTAAATCGAAAAAGGCCATTTTCCATTCGAGCACTTGCGAGAAGTCTATTCTCGGGTGAGTGAATTCCCATGCCGTATTTATTTGTCCTCATCTGGAATCCTTTTTGAATGAGCTTTGAGCCGGAAACGAGGTTTCTGGTACATGTTGGTAGGTACCAGACGTTATCAATTCTAATAGTCCGATACTTGTTGCCACCTTCATATCCCGTGACGTGAAACTCCACAGTCCCAATTCCTGATACAGTTGACAAGTGTCCTGAGGCTGTTTGAATACTCTTTTCGGTGGGGGACATGGAGATGAACAGGGATTTGTCGTGAAACACATGGCAAGTAGCACCGGTATCGAGTATCACATCTGAGTTTTTGGAACTAGAGTAGTATAAATCAAATTGTTCTTCTAACATCCATGCACCCTCATTTGATGAGCCTTCATTGTCTCTTTCTTTCCTCTTTTTATTATACGCTTCTTTGCGTCTCATCACACTTGCAGCCTTAGAAGGATTTTTGGCAGCCCACTTTGTACCATCAGGAGTCTCGATCCAATCAAAGCAGTTTTCACGGACGTGATTGGCGCGCTTGCAGTGAGCACAATATCTTATTGCCCTGGTAGTGTTATTTCTAACTCCTTGGTTTATGTGTGCTACGGTCGCCGCTTCATGTTGTCTATTAAAGCTTGATTGCGTCTCCCTCAAAGTGTTAACCGTCTGACTAAAAGAGATTGATGCGTCTAATCGTAGATAAGCAACAACACCACCATAGTATCCGTTACATTCTGTTTCGAAATGTCGTAATAGGCGATTCTTTTTTGTCATATCGGAGGGACGTTTTAATGGATCAAGTGACGCTATTTGAGATTGCTTTTGGGTGAGTTCATTTGCATACTCATCAACATCTGTCCCTTCGGTCATTGAGAAACTCCAAAAATCTTCTAGGATGGTGTCCACCACTGCCTCACTTTGTGGCTGATAGTATAATTTCAGCGATATCCACATCTTACGTGCCGTAGGCAAGCTTTCTAGAATATAGTAAACCTCTTCGGGCACAATTTGGAGTAGGGCCGCTCGAATGTTATTGTCAGTTGTTTTTGCTGATTTTTGAGGAGTTCTTGTTGTCTTCAGATCATTTTCATCATTTAACTCGGACAAATCTTCAGAGACATACTTCTCAAGGTTAAGGCCGTACAAGCACATCGTGAATAACCTGCTCCATCTGGCATACGTTGATTTGCTCAGGACAGGTGCGTTTTTGATGCCTTTTAATATTTCGGCAGTCGACATAATTGAAAACTAACTGGTTACGGCTCCAGTTTTGGCTAGGTGGGATGAACAGGACTGGTGTTCAAGCTGTACGACACAAGTGGTACGGATGCTATCTTTGTCGACTCGGAAGATTACTAATTTAAATCAATGTTGTCTCAGCTGGTCAGAGTTTGGTCTCATAATCTGTTGAGATGAAATAATTATTGATCTATTAATTAGAGTAAAATTGCATAAGAAAACTATTACGAACTATTACTATCTTATATACATAATTAGCAGTCCACGAGTGATCTAGTTCTTCAACGACGGTGCAAGTGTCCTCTACTGGTACCCTGATAGAAGTGAGTGATCTGTCTTCCTGCCTCCCGTTTAATGGCGGAAGATCAGCATCATGTGACTGACATCTCTTTCAACCTAACACCAAACAAATGTTCTACCTAGCTGGTAAACACTAACAGCCAGGTAAATGTATGACTCATTTGCTATTTAGCTTATACTAACATTGTATATTCTAGGTTTCAACATTATCCACCTTTATCTTGCCTCCCCTGATTTTAGTCCCCAATATGGGAAATGATCCTTTGTCTTCACGAAGCTTTTGAGATTGAGTACTACGGATGTAACCGAGACTCGGAGTCGATTGCGACCATGCCGTTTTTATTTGCGGGTTTGTTTTCAACAAAAAATCGGTAATCCTTTCTCCATTTTTTGGTGCGTAAATAATGGATGTTTCTGGAAGCCATATGTCTAGACTTAATGATTTTCGGAAGAGGTGAATATTACCGTTACACCAAGCAAGTGCATATTTCAATATTCCTATGATTGCCACATGTATAAACTTACCGTCCCCAGCCAAACTCGACATTTCGATGGGTGTATCAAAGATAACCGTAGGGCGAAAGTTTTTGTATCTATCTACGTCGGATAGATACATACCCTGAGATTTAAATTTGCATTCAAGCGCTAGGTTTCCCAAAGCTTTTTGAGTACATTTTCCGGTTTCTATCAGATCTTTGCTATGAACTGCGGAGATCTGCGGTTTACTGGTCATTGAACGAATGAGACTCAGGCAATTAACTTCTATTTCAGTCCTCGTTATGGGGTCTCCTCTCCCATAGTTTGAGAGTTTATCTCGCGCGTCCCAGAGTCTTAAGCGAATTTCATCGCTCTGCCAACTCCTTGAACAATAGACGGTAACATATGTGCCGGGTTCCTCGACATCAACATGCGTCTTATATACGTCGGAACCTTTCCGAGGATCTGGGAAGGCCTCATTGTGGTGTAGAGTGTATATTTCGTTGACGGGAATAGGAGAGTTGCTCACTAAAGCCAGACGATGGCTTTGTGGCGTGTCCTGGCCCGTGAAGAAGAGGATGGCGAGAAGACAGTTCATCTTTGCGCCTTAGGCGTGAGAAGTTTGATTAGCTGGGTCTTGTAGGTCTGGCTTGCGTGTCTGTGGCCAATTGCTGGTACTTGAAGCTCTGGTAATTGGCAAATATGGAATATGTGTGACCAGATCTTGTAGGGGAGCGTCGAGTCGATTATATCAGAGATCTCCAATTCCCATCGCAAGAGGTTGTAGGCTAGAAACTGGGGGTTCGATGTGCACTTGTTGATGGCGAGAGGGCGATTGAAAACCTGGATGCCCTTCTCCATGCTACTGTGGTCCACGAGTGGGTCGAATGGTGCAGTTCTACACCGTTCGGGCCGTTTTCCCAAGTAGATACTGGGTAGCTTGAACACCTACCCTATATGAGACAGGAGAAAGCTGGTTCGAATCCAGTGAGACCCATACACCACTCTCTCTCGCGGTGATATCGTACTTGTGAAATGAAGAAAGCACACTCGGATAGCCACGGGATTTTCACGCTTTCCCCTGTGGTGGGTATGCACGGAAGAGGTTGTGCGGCGTAAGGGTTAACCTCGAATTGTATCTGCAAATGAAATCTGAGTGTGAGTGTTCTAATCGCCAAATTGAGTCATTCTGCATAAAAAAGATATCTTCCGATAAAAACCTGCATGGGCCTCATGGCACTAAATCAGGATAAATGAATAATTTATTTATTTATGGTCCATGAGTCATTCGCATGAAATTACTGGCCGCTTGTGTATGGGCCGAATCCGCCCATCCAATCAAGCACTTTGATACCTCAAACTTGAGGTAGATTGTGGCGGCCTCCTCCCTCACGAGAACACATAGGTGTAAAAACAGACCCGGTCATCCCGAAATGGAGATTCCCAGGAGCATTGGCGCTGCTTTCACAGTAAGTGTGTATTAAATATGGTCTAATTTAGGCCATTCCACCCTGCCGTGGGATACGGCAGGGTACGAAGAATACCTAGAATACCTGAATTTCCCAGCTTGAATAGTGCGCGACTTTTCTCAATATTCGCGTTTGAGCCAGTAAGTTACATCGGGCTGTATTTGATTTGACTTAAATGCTATTCGCGTCAGGCATACGCCCTACACCCATGAGGCGTGATACGGGTATGTGATCTCGACGGACTCACTACTATCTGCGTGCATGGCTTTATCTACCATGCGAACTACAAAAATAGAAAATTTGCATCCTAATCTTAGAGCGACGGCTACCGTAGGTATTCTTAGGGGCAAATTAATAGATAAATTATGTGAAGTTTATACAACTCAACTCTTCTCTATAGTCACTGACTCAGTTAGGACTGTATTAAAAATCTATTATACTCTAGTCTAATCCGCATTTTGTTGGAAAATGAAGTATAATCTTATTAGTAACGATTACTTTCATTACGTAAGGGTTCCCAACGAAATCTCTATATCCACTATTCATTCTCTAGTCCCGTCTCCCCTGTAAGATTTGTATGAACAGGTACTAGTGTGGCTCCACTTCTATGACGAGAGAACACAAGCTACGTGATCGACCTTTCCTTCCGACTGACTTACATAATTAAATTTTTACTAAGTATTTTTTGGTCTAGATTAATACCTTTATTTACAAATGTCAAACTTGGAGAGATCTTCGTGTGAATATCACGTGAATCATCAAAAGATGAAAGCAAATACAAGCATGAATTGATTAATGTTCTCCGTGTTACGAGTCCATCGTAGCACTAAAACATCCAATTCTACCCCTAATGAGGCCCCTGCGCATCATAACTAGTCAGACATGCCTGCACGCAGATCGTGCTCTCGCTTTTGGACTGGATCCAGAATTATGCAAGCATAAGTCTGCTTACAATAAACAAATAATCAATTCACTATTCCACGCTTTGCTTTAAGTACTCCTCAATCTCCTTCGACAACTAGACATAGCTTAGGACCACCATCTAGAGGCACTCTGGACAGAAAAAGCTTTCCGCGTCAGCTATGGCACCGCTGGCAAAGATAAATTCTTCACCTTCCAGTGGTGCCGGTGTAATCGCTTAGTATACTCAGCATATCTGGGATAGCCAAGAGGAATCGCATCCGAATCGAAGTCGAAAGCAACCTCAAGCATATCTATAATCGGCGACTTCTCATCAATGTCGGTCTTATCATTCTCACGAAAATCCTCTACCTTAACCTCGTCACACACCACCTCGCCTCAATGACTGATAAAGGCGTTACTCTAATTGCGAACAGGAGCTTACATCATTTGTTACCGACCATCACTCACTACAAATTTACGATGCTACGTATACCCGCAAGGAGGAGATTAAGTCATAACATACAAATTCAGGGTCTTTGTTTATGGGGGAATGTCGCTCTTGTGGGGTTATACATCTTGAGGAAGGACAGGTTACTAGGGCGTGAAAATATATAAGAAAGATACCATTTGTGGGAACATTAGTTCTGATGCTTTCGTGATGTTTTGGACCTTAGAACGTATGTCGGCGCCAAGACCGAGATTTCGGCTAATTAGCCAGGAAGACTACGATTGTCTTTGAGTCAATGGCACTCCCCAGCGCCCTGTACGGCACAAAAGAAGTTAGGCTAAGCTGCCATACAGCAATCACGCTCTGTCAAGAATTTTCTCACATTTCAGCACGACCTTCGGGAAGGAGGCTAGAAAGGCAGAGTGTGAATTTCCCGAGGTACCCACAAGTCTGCAGCGCCCAGCTGGCCGGCCTCTTCGAACGCTTCAGAAGGGGCACTACGTCTTCGAATTTAGCCCTAATGTCGGTACATTGCGAACTTATTACAAGGATGTGATTCTGTGCTGCTATTTTGTATCGTTATAACGTTTTAGTGGGAAGGGCAAGACTAAACACCTGTACGCGGTGTCCTCTACGAACCCGGGAGTGAAATATTCTCCCAGAGCCAAGTTCAGTCAAATTTCGCAATATCAAAGAAGTTGGCCCACGAGGCAAAATTTAAAATTACTCTACCACGTCGTTTTCCCGCTCCCAACGAGTCTGGCGCCTACCTAAGTCTCATCAAGCCTACAAGTACGACCTAGTACATCCTCATTCCAATGATCACACCACTCGTCGACTTTCTCTGGCCTCAGCCGGTCACCAAATACACGCCCACGCCGATATTTATACCCGACGGAGGAAGCAAAGCGTGGCGCACAAATCTGGGAGACAGTTCTTTGGGATGGACGTGAGAGGATTCCGAACAAGTTCTCAGGATGATGCAGAGGAAGGATATAACCTCGAAGGGAGTGAAATTCCGAATTTTGGCAAGCAGTTTTACGAATTGAGCTTTGTGCGCGCCAAGACTTCGCTTGCGAGAGTGCAGCTCACACTATAAACACAAGCAAACGATGGAAGGTGTCGTGGTCCGCCTCCTGGTGCTTATTTCTAGTTTGCTTTGATTAGCCTGGGCACCTACTCCACTTGGAAAGGAGACGCTTCAGATCACATTTCGCGCGGAGAAAAGTTGATAAATGATGGGGACATGTTTGGATAACCCAGGGTTTTTGAGATCTTCCCCTGAGTGGGTATTCACGGATGAGGGTTGACTTGGGGTGAAGAAAAAGCCACCATAACTTCGCAGTGGTACTTGCAAAGAAATCTGAGGCATGAGTGCTCTTCCTTTACGTTGAATCATCTATTCTGTACTTTTCTTTGATATTCTGTCACAGCTAGATAGCTGCATACGCAATTAAAATCTGATGCAAAAAAAAACGTTTTAGTGAAGAACGTGATCACGTGATAAATCTTACAAACATATTTAGTCTCCTAAAATTAACATTAACGCATCCTCGCACACCAAACGTGATATATTCCTACCTCATCTTTTATTTAAACCAGCTGTTTAATGTCCCTCGGTTCTTTTATAGTCATAGACTCAAATAGGGTGTAATGTCCCTCGGCTTCTAGCAAGCTCTGTGTGACGGAAACCGAGTTGGTTGTGAATAAATCGATTTATTAAACTATGTGAGGAGAAAAGAGAACTCTAGCTACGACTAACAGGTATTTATAAGAATTGGTCCCCATCGTCAATCTCCAGACTGATGACGTATCCCTAGGTACAATACTTGCTACCCAGCCACGCATTGCCAGGTGTTACTTAGTTGTAGTAACGCTTCGACCTCCTGACTAGTAGTGCCGCCTAGTTGTAAATATTCCCAACAATCCGCTTAGGTATTCACCTAAGCTCAAATAGCGGTCAAACCGTAACACTCTGCCTGCTGAAGGAGGCTTCTTTACATGCGCATGAGTATCATGAGCTCCGGGGAATTTGCATCTGGCTCACACTCTCTGAAGATGAGCAGGCGGTTCAGCTGTCTCCTCATTCTCTTTCTCTTCGTGCTCCTCCTGCTGTGGCATAGTATATGCGGCAATGATATCCACAAGCGTGACCTCATCCTCCACCTCAATGCTGTCATCGCCGTGTCTGTAATCTTAGTCGCCATTTAAGGATATATTTGCATGAAGAGCATCTAGACTTCTACCAGGGCTAATGAGTCGTGTGGGGAAGTGCATGACATACTTGGAATGAAACTAGGTAACAGTAATCCATGCCTTGATTATTAGGCACAGGACTAAGTATAATAAGTCTTCAGCCAATGGCAGTGGTTACATTATGTGACAATTATTCGATATCACGATTGTATTAGATTTTATTCTAGTCCTATTTGAGCCTATGACCATGGAGGACTTCTACAGTCTACCAGAAAGAAACTGGCTTTATTTGATTTGTTTAAACATGATAACTTTGAATTGTTTTCTTGTAGACAGTGAGGAGCAAATCCTTTCCTTATCACCATAAAATGGCGACAGCGACATCGGTATATGGAATGACGTTGATCTTGTTAAATGACAAGGTGTGTCTGGTTGTTGCAAGAGCCAGTCAAGGTCGAATTTAGGAGTCACGTTAATGACACTACTTATGCAGATTAGTCGCGTGTAGAAATTTGTACTTCATAGCCTTTGTCTATCTCGATTTCCGTGAAAATTAATACTATCGCTTCTGATTCTATCCGA